GAGAGATAGATAGATAGATAGATAGATAGATAGATAGAGAGAGAGAGAGAGAGAGAGAGAGAGAGAGAGAGAGAGAGAGATCAGGTTCACTAGTGGGGGACATGAAGGTATTGAAGGACGACTTTGTTGGTGATTTTGGCCCGCAGTAGTGAACCCCATATATTTTTGTTTTTTTCTTGTTCTCCTTTCTTTCTTTTTTACTTTGTTTTTTTTTTTTTTTCATTTTCGTTTTCTTCTTCTTCCTTTCTTCAAGTTTCTTTCTTTCTTTCCGAATGATCGACATTTCGGTGGGCTCCAACGGCGGAACCTGTTGGCAGTTGTCCCTACTTTCGTAGTCTCAGGCCTTTCAACCTTGTAGTTATTTTCGTTTCCGCCCTTCTGAAGACTCGTAGGCACCCGAAGGTCTATCTAATGTGTGTCCTAGCCTTCGGTTCACTTACTGTAGGTTTCCATGTAAATGCATGTACTTTGGATCTTTACCAAAATGCGCTCGTAGATGTTTGCCGTTTGGACGGTTGTGTAAGTCTGTAGGTGCGTGGTGCGTTGTACGTCTAGGGAAGTTGGGTACAAGTAGGCCAGTCGTTGAATTAGGGTTGTTGTCGTTGCTTTTCTTACCACGGGCTTGGTGGAGGTCCCATTGTCTGTCTGTTCTGTTGTTGTGGACATGTACGCCAACCATCACAGTATCCCTATGTGAGTGTACACTAAGTGTGTTTGCTGTTTCCTTTCTCTGGCTCTACATTCTTTCATCCAGTGACCTGTAATTTATATGCTTGGTTTGTTAGCATCGACCCCTCTTCTCCCTCTTCCACGTCTGCACGCGCTTCTCTCTTTCTCACCCTCTGTCTGTCTGTCTGTTCTGTGTTGCGGTCTTGACCAATTTCGGAATGTATAATCGACAGAAAGTTCAATGGCGTCCAATCGCAAAAAGAAATGTTTAAACATGAGGGGAGAGAGAGAGAAATAGGTGATTCTGAATCCTGCTTCCTCCCCTCTTATTCAAACAAGAAAGAACAATAATAATGTTGAATGGTTGAACATCATCTATGTTGCGTTGACGAATCTCTACCGCAGGAAGAAATCTGCATAGGTCAAAGATATGCATGGACAACACAAAGCAGTTATGTGGTCTGTCTGCTCCATCTGTTGTGTTTGTCTGTCTGTCTGTCCATTTGTCTGTCGGTCTGCTCTTGTTTGTATGTCTGTCTGTCTGTCTGTCCTTCTATCTGTTTGTCAGTTTGTCTGTCTGTCGCCTTGTCTGGTCAGTCAGTCAGTCAGTCTGTTTGTCTGTCTGTCTATCCGTCTGTTTGTCTGTCTGTCTGTCTGTCTGTCTGTGTGTCTGTGTGTCTATCTGTCTGTCTGTCTGTCTCTTTCTTTCTTTATCTTACTTTGTCTTTCATTCTTTCTTTCTTTCTTTGTCTAACATTTTTTTTTTTTTTT